GAGTATGAGGTAATCAGTCCCTCGGCCTAGAGTCGATGTGTTCAGTCCATCAGTCTTGTAGAATGTACAGCATAGGAACGAACGAGAACGAAAGTTCAGGTAAGATCCCAAATGGGATGAGCGGGGAAGACGGGACAGACAAAGAATAGTGCTGGAGAGGAGTGTTCTTAGTCGCAGAAATAGAGCCAGGGCTTAACCCAGCAGCAAAGGCGATCGTGGGACAGATATTGAAAAGAGAAATTCAGGTTCTTCTGTTGGGACTCCGGTGGGGTGAGCTGGGAGTAAGGGACATGCGACGTTTAGAGCTAGAGAGGGAGTGCAGAATGAGCCATGTCTTAACCCCAAAAAATGCTAAGGCGAACGTGGGTCAGAGAATGGTACCTGTCTTAGAAGGTACCTGTCAGCGGATCCAAGGTTATTTGTAAGTAGGGTTAGGAGCAGGATCATGCAAGGAGTAGAAAAGGTTGTGTTGGTTTGTGGGTCTGCGAATGTCTTCGTCAAGGGAGAGAGGTCCAGTAGTCATGTCGTGTCTCAAGTTTGTCTATTGTCTGTCACTGACCCTTTCCAGTACAGATTCAGCGCAGGGATGTCTAACTGAGCATGGAGAGACTCGCTTGTGGCGAAGTCCTCCCATCTGACTCAAGCACCCAGCGCAGTCCCTTGTTCTGGACACGCTGCAGTTTAAGTAAGTTTGTTTTTGCTGCAAGAGAGGGGGCTAGAGGAGAGTAAGTTATCAGAGGACGTATTAGGGATTTGTAGAGGTGTAGTTTGGTGCGTTTGAGAGGCATTTTTCAGCTTGTAGAGGCCAGAAAGGGGCCCCTTACTAGCTATTGCATGCCTTGAGTGAATGTGTCCGTGTAAACGAAGAAGGTAGTCAGATTAACGCCAAGGGACAGTGACAGATTGTGTGATAGGGAAGTAAGTGCGGGGGGTCAGCTGTTCTGAGTTCGACAGGTAATGGAGGATCACGTTTCCTGTAGTTAAAATTTACTTTAATGCTGGATTTTGCTGCATTGGTTTTGATCCCATTTTTGTTCCCAGATGGCTATCCTGTCAACCTCATTTTGTGTTTTGTGTGTGAGTGTATCTATATTGGCATGAGTGATAAGTTGTGTAATGTCGTCTGCATAGGCTGTGTGTGGAGTTGTGGTATACAGGTGTTGGAATGTCGTTAGTGTATAAAATGTAGAGGGTAGGGGAAAGGACAGATCCCTGGGGTACTCCAGCATTTAGTGTGAAGTAGTCAGAGTAACAGCCTTGGAATTTTATTCTCATGGTACGGCCGTCTAGGAAGTTGCAGAGGAGTTTACGAGTATTGAGAGGCAGGTTGAAGTTAGTGCAGAGTTTGTACTTGAGCCCTTCGTGCCACACAGTGTCAAAAGCTTTTTCAACGTCTTTTGCAACCAGGGCTGTCCTGTTTCTTTGTTTTGTGTTTATGTGGATGTAGTTGAGAATGATGTTAATGGCATCCTGTGTGGATCTGTGTGTTCTGAAGCCAAACTGGCCATCTGAAAGTAGAGAATTATGTTCCAGGTATCTGCGAAGGCGATGATTAATGAGTTTTTCAAAGAGTTTTCTAAAGTTTCGAGGAGGCGATAGGGCGATAGTTTCTAGGGGCCAGAGTGGTCTTTATTGGGTTTAGGAAGGAGGATAGCAGTAGCAGCTTTGAAGAGGGAAGGGAAGTATCCAGAGGCAAGGGAGGCATTGAGGAGGTTTGTGTAGGCAGTAATGATAGAGTCAGGAAGGTGTTTCAGGATAATATGGTTTAGGCCAGAGGCACCAGGAGCCTTTGGAGGAAGGTGTCTGAGGAGAGTTTTAATGTCTGTGTTGGTGGAAAGGAGTGTCGAGTTCTTGGGAGGAGGTATGAGTGTCTAGATGTTTGTGGCTGTTGGTGTGTTTCTTGTGTGTGTGCAGTGTTTCCAGTGTTCTTTGTTCTGAATGTGTTGAATAACGTTAGGGCGAGGTGGGTGAGGGTGGAAGATGTTCTCCCAGATGTGTTTTTAAGATGTTTTGGGAGCAGCCGTGGGTCTGAGATGTGTGTGTTGGTTTTGGGTGTGTTTTGTTTGAATTTTGTTTGGGGGGAGTAGTGCCTCTGATTTTCTTGATAAAGTTCCAGAAGGCTTTAGTGTTTTTAATACGCTGCCTGTTCGCTTGTTGTATTAGTCGTGACCAGTGAATTGTTGTGGTCTTGGTCTTTTGGCTGTGTAAAATGTTGTTTCTAAGGTAAGTGAGATCTAATCGGACTTGATTAAATCTATGTGTGTTGTAGAGGAAGCGGTTGTGGTAGCAGATAATTAGTCTTCTTGTTCTGAGTGACGGTTTGAAGGAAAAACGAGTGGTGTGAGTTTTCTTTGGTATTGCGATGTTGGCTGCTTGTGTAATGGTGTCCTGGATGAGATCAAGTTGAGTATCGATGTCAGAGATAGGTTTGTTGTTGTAGTCATAGGTGAGGTTAATATTGTCTATGTGTTGTTTGAAAGCATCCCAGTCAGCGTTCTTGTAGGAGAATGAAGGTGTGGTTGGAATGAGGATAGGGTTGGAGGAGATGTGTAAGATGGCTGGGATGTGATCAGAGCCTGTAATAGGGCCAGGTGAGATATAATGTTGAAATAGAGAGCTGGCTCGGTTTGCCAGAATGATGTCTGGTTTGCCTTGGCCCGTGTGGTTGAAGAAGGTATTGAAGTCTGGGCCGTAGACGTGGCTTATATGCTGTAGTGAGATGAGGTGAAGCAGGCGGAGGCGGGGTCATAGTGGTACCATCCACTAGTCGAAGTAGGTCTTCGTCCAAAGGTTGAACAAGTGTTGAAGAATTCTTTGTAACAAGATCCCATGATGCTGCAGTGTCTGACAGTTGTGATGAATGGTTTGAAAAACCGACAAGTCGGTTTTTCAAACCATTCATCACGTTACGTGGACGACGTCCTCGTAATACCTCCCAAACGTTTTGATGTACGGAATCTTCAGGCAAGACTCAACGCAGTTGAGTTTACACTAGAAGAAGAGTCCAATGACAAGCTACCTTTCCTCGGCGTCCTCATTAACAAAGTAGACAGCAACCTAAGATTTCAAGTTTATCGGAAACCTGCCAATAAAAATGATCTCACACTCTTCTATCCAGTCAAGATACCAAGGCCAAAAGAGGCATCATCATCGGGTTTTTCCTAAGAGCATGCTGAATTTGTAGTCCTGAGTTTCTTGACGAGGAATGTACATACATTCACCAAACCTTCACTGAGTTACCTTTTCCTTCCTTTTTCATCAAAGACTGCAAGAAAAGAGCTCTTCAGATCATTAATTCTCCACGCACCAACACCACTCCCAACAAAGTTATAATTCTTCCCAACAGCCAGGTTGCACTGAACGTTTCTAAAGTACTTTCACAAGCTAACACCAGAGTCGCCATCGCTTCTAGCACTTCAATAAAGGATCTAACCAGGACAAAATCAAAGCACCACGAACCAGTCAATGCAGGGGTTTACACTATACCCTGTGGAGGCTGTGACAAGATTTATGTAGGTGAACACATTTACGCATGTAGGAACGATAACTTGAACAACGCCTATGTACAACACCGAAATTCCACCAATCATCTCATGAAATTCAGGGACGCCCAATTAGTGATCAAAGAAACTAATTTCCGCAGACGCAAGTGCCTCGAATCAGCACTGATCGCTGTTTCGAATACAATTAAACAAAACAACGGCAGCTTCACCATCTCTGAAGTCTTAGCAAGAATTCTCCTGAAAACAGTAAACCCTGCCATCACATAGTCTCTCCTGTTATACTACACAAAGCACAGGAGGCCTGGTCACAGACCGGGCCGCGGGGGCGTTGACCCCCGGAACTCTCTCCAGGTAAACTCCAGGTAAACATTACAGAGAGTGAACACTGAAACAGGCCTTCTCTATCCAGTCTACATTTGTCCAACCTATTTTTATGTTACCCAAGTAATATCTTTTATATCCTTTTACTCATGTACGAATTAATTGCTCTACCATATTGTATTACTACTACTACTACAACTTTTGTCACTACTACTACTACTACTACCACTACAACAACAACCACTACTACTACTACTACTTCCACTAGTATTGCACCTCACTCTGAGCCTTTATATACCCTCTGTGTCCATATACTGTTTGTATCGGCTTGACAAAGCTCCTGGAGAGCGAAACGTTGCCACAATAAAATGTCACATTAGTTGCACTTGTGTCCCCCAGTATCACCAAGGGGAGGGTGTGACCACTGAGCTACAGGCTCCCCCAGTATCACCAAGGGGAGGGTGTGACCACTGAGCTACGGGCTCCCCCAGTATCACCAAGGGGAGGGTGTGACCGAACATTAAAATGGTATAAAATACCGACAGGTTGTTAGGTAAGACACATATGCAACAGTTAGGTATCTTTATTATGAAACGTTTCGCCTACACAGTAGGTTTCTTCAGTCAAGTACAGAAAAGTTGATAGAAGCAGAAGATACTTGAAGACGATGTGTCTTACCTAACAACGAGGGTGTGACCACTGAGCTACGGGCTCCCCCAGTATCACCAAGGGGAGGGTGTGACCACTGAGCTACGGGCTCCCCCAGTATCACCAAGGGGAGGGTGTGACCACTGAGCTACGGGTTCCCCCAGTATCACCAAGGGGAGGGTGTGACCACTGAGCTACAGGCTCCCCCAGTATCACCAAGGGGAGGGTGTGACCACTGAGCTACGGGCTACCCCAGTATCACCAAGGGGGAGGGTGTGACCACTGAGCTACGGGCTCCCCCAGTATCACCAAGGGGAGGGTGTGACCACTGAGCTACGGGCTCCCCCAGTATCACCAAGGGGAGGGTGTGACCACTGAGCTACGGGCTCCCCCAGTATCACCAAGGGGAGGGTGTGACCACTGAGCTACGGGCTCCCCCAGTATCACCAAGGGGAGGGTGTGACCACTGAGCTACAGGCTCCCCCAGTATCACCAAGGGGAGGGTGTTACCACTGAGCTACAGGCTCCCCCAGTGTCCCCCAGGGGAGGGAGGGACGGGGGGTGTGTGGGCGGCCATGTTGTAGCGTACCTCTGTGGTAGACATAAGGCGGCAGCTACGCTTGTTGCATATCTTTGTTATAGTGTGCCTCACATAGGCTTCATGAGGACATAGTACGCAACACACAGGTACAGTGACCTCTCTGCTGTGTCTTAGTGAAGTGTGAGTGAGTGGTGAGTATTGTGTTGGTGTTATATATGTGTGTTGTGTGGTACACAGCAGCAGCAGCAGCAGCAGCAGCAGCTGTCATGGCTGCTGCTGCTGCTACACGCGACCTTCTCTACTAACTTCTTCACTCTCCTACTCTCTCACTCTTCTACTCTCTCACTCTCCTACTCTCTCACTCTCCATTCAGTTTTTGTGGCACCTGTTAAACATCATACCTTTGATAAATATTGAAATGTAATTAAGATAGTGAATAGTGTTGTTTGAGGGACGTTGTCTCATAACAGGCATTTGTGGCCTTCAGTTATGGCTACCTTGACCCTTGTGGGTTTAGCGCGTCGTTTTGATTGTAATAATAAGAGCAGTGTCTTAGTATTTAATAAAATTACATTATAAGTAGTATAGTTAAATAGCAGTCCAGCTTTTGTTAAGTGTTATTGATGTTGCTTTATTGCAGTAAGCTCCTTTATTACCATTATTAACCCGGAGTGTTGTTAACCCAGGTTAACATAACCAAGCAAGCCATTATAACATTAAACAGTACCATTAAAACATAATAACAGTCTGGTTTTGTTAACACAATATTACATTATAAGAGTGAAGGATGAACGTTGTCTCGAGGCTCGTCTAGTCACAGGATTTATCTACAACTACACATACATACAATTATCATACCTAGTAACATGTGTAAATTACCTAGGATAACCCAGAAAAGTCAGGGACTTATTTCCAGTGAGGTCCTTGATATACCCATTGGGGTTCTTGATATTGCCATTGGGTCCTTGATGTATCCATTGGGGTCCTTGATGTATCCATTGGGGGTCCTTGATGTATCCATTGGGGGTCCTTGATGTATCCATTGGGGGTCCTTCAAGAATCCAACTCTTATATTTACTAACCCCTTTGTGTAAAATTATACCAATATAAGCTTACGGATTACATAAACAGTATATAACTGTATTTTACATTTTATAAGTTAACTCGAGATACTCCTTCAATTAATGGATATTAAACAGTTGGGATTGTTGCTCAGTCTCAACAGTTTAACATTTCCTAAGAGCCATGTGTTTGGTAGCAAGCAGTTCAGTGACACTTGATCGAACTTAAGATATTTTATTAGACAACTTGTTGGTAAAGGGACCCTTTCCCTGGGTGGTAGTTTGTGTGTTCTTTTTGCCCAGTTGCACTTGAGGAATGTACAGTGAGAAAGGCAGTTAATGAAATGATTTTATGTAGAAGTACAACTCGTAATGTGTTTTCCTCTATGTTGTTGGCACTAGATGGTATTATTTGGATTATTAACCTGAAAGGTTAGTAATGCAGGATAACCTAAGAAAGCTAATTAATATGGGATATTTCCATCAAGGTTCTTTTGTTTCCTTTCCTGTGATATTGCTCAACATCTGACAAACACCCACATACCTACAGTAAACTCTCCATCTAATGGACTTGAAATACTGAACAAATTTGCTGAGTCAACAGATTTGGATACAGTGGACAAAATTCTTTGGCCACTCAATTGTTCATTGTTACAATCATGGGGAAATAATCTTTTCTTTATCCTCCACAATTTGTATTACTGGCCACTCGCTCCAACAGATGTAAGATGGCTTGTGATTAAAGAAGTAGTAGTACCTTCAGCTTGTAGCTGAAACCTCTGCTCTTGCATGCCCTTGCTCCTCACCTACTCCTCTCCTTAGCATGTTTCTCCCTGCAGCACTGTATGACACTTTTGAGTTTAGAGCATAAATTGATTATAACACTCATCATCACTGAAGGAACCAGGCTTGAACTTGGACAAGTAGAGACCTTGGGTGTGTTTCCTTATATCTGTTGCTCTTGTTCCTTACATCTTGTTGCCCTTGTAAGGAAGTGCTTGGGTGTTAGCAGACTGCTGTCAGTCCCATGTTGGGAAGAGGACCAAATCACCCAAATGAAAAGACACACTAATTGGCTTTTTTGTCTCAATACTTATCATGTACGTAGGGAATAACGACATTCAGGTTGTTCCTCTGGCTGATTACTAGAAGTAGAGGGTACAGGGTCCGGCGGATTGTCATTGTCAGTCACAACAGTCTGGTTATCAGGAAACCCTCATCTTCATCGCATACTAATTTCCTTCAGTCTAAATGCGAGTCTTTATATTGACCAGTACTTATTCCTCTAACTTTATACTTATTGCCGTTGATATATTCGACTACTCGAAATGGACCAACAAACTTTTGATTAAGCTTGGGCATTGCGGATGTTTTATTAAAGTTAGCCATTATCACTCGAACCTACTTGAATTTTTGGTCAGCTTTGCACGATTAGAGATTAGATTTTGCTACCGAAGTGGCTAGTTTATTGTGCACCCCGTATCCATCCTATGGACGGTAGTGCAAGAGCATATGGATACACAAAAGGCCCAGGAACTAGGCCCCAAGGGGTTAACATGAATACATATGGATTTATATCTACATATCTATAGTTCACTTATCTGTTACAAGCAAATTTAGGAAATTTGCTTAGTATACAGTATCTGGTATTGTATTTTCATTATTAGATATCTTGACATGTCACATAGGTTATTATACTGTCTGTCTCTGTATTCCTCAATAACTGGACAATTAAGCACATAGTGTTCAAGACAGTGACCATATGCCTGGTCACATAATTTACATTTAGTTTGATCATTATCTGTGTCTCTCCCAAACTGCCAGAAGTATACTTGTAACCAAGCCTAAGCCTGGCCACTACAACATCAGTCAGTCTGTCCACATTGCACGTTGCTCCATAAACATACTTATCCACATTCATGTTATCATAGTGGGTTATAGATCTACTCAGGCTTCTAATTGCATTCCTATAACAATCATTTTCATTATTTACTTCTCTCCTAATATTATTCCTAATGCTAGACACAGTTATACCAAAGTTATATTCTACATTCTCCTTCTGGGTACTCTTCTTCGCTAACACATCAACTTTATCATGAAGGAGTAATCCAATGTGTGATGGGATCCATAGCAACTGTACATTAATTCCTTTGTCCCTGATTTTTGAGTATCTATGCCTGGCATCTCCAATACCTGGAGTTTACCTGGAGAGAGTTCCGGGGGTCAACGCCCCCGCGGCCCGGTCTGTGACCAGGCCTCCTGGTGGATCAGAGCCTGATCAACCAGGCTGTTGCTGCTGGCTGCACGCAAACCAACGTACGAGCCACAGCCGGCTGATCAGGAACTGACTTTAGGTGCTTGTCCAGTGCCAGCTTGAAGACTGCCAGGGGTCTGTTGGTAATCCCCCTTATGTGTGCTGGGAGGCAGTTGAACAGTCTTGGGCCCCTGACACTTATTGTATGGTCTCTTAACGTGCTAGTGACACCCCTGCTTTTCATTGGGGGGATGGTGCATCGTCTGCCAAGTCTTTTGCTTTCGTAGTGAGTGATTTTCGTGTGCAGTTCGGTACTAGTCCCTCTAGGATTTTCCAGGTGTATATAATCATGTATCTCTCCCTCCTGCGTTCCAGGGAATACAGGTTTAGGAACCTCAAGCGCTCCCAGTAATTGAGGCGTTTTATCTCTTGTTATGCGTGCCGTGAAGGTTCTCTGTACATTTTCTAGGTCAGCAATTTCATCTGCCTTGAAAGGTGCTCTTAGTGTGCAGCAATATTCCAGCCTAAATAGAACAAGCGACCAGAAGAGTGTCATCATGGGCTTGGCATCCCTAGTTTTGAAGGTTCTTATTATCCATCCTGTCATTTTTCTAGCAGATGCGATTGATACAATGCTATGGTCCTTGAAGGTGAGATCCTCCGACATGATCACTCCCAGGTCTTTGACGTTGGTTTTTCGCTCTATTTTGTGGAAGGAATTTGTTTTGTACTCTGATGAAGTATTAATTTCCTCATGTTTACCATATCGGAGTAATTAAAATTTCTCGTCGTTGAACTTCATATTGTTTTCTGCAGCCCACTGAAAGATTTGGTTGATGTTAACCTGAAGCCTTGCAATGTCTGCAATGGATAGATTCGGGTGTCATCTGCAAAGGAAGACACGGTGCTGTGGCTGACATCCTTGTCTATGTCGGATATGAGGATGAGGAACAAGATGGGAGCGAGTACTGTGCCTTGTGGAACAGAGCTTTTCACCGTAGCTGCCTCGGACTTTACTCTGTTGACGACTACTCTCTGTGTTCTGTTAGTGAGGAAATTATAGATCCATCGACCGACTTTTCCTGTTATTCCTTTAGCACGCATTTTGTGCGCTATTATGCCATGGTCACACTTGTCGAAGGCTTTTGCAAAGTCTGTAGATATTACATCTGCATTCTTTTTGTCTTCTAGTGCATTTAGGACCTTGTCGTAGTGATCCAATAGTTGAGACAGACAGGAGCGACCTGTTCTAAACCATGTTGCCCTGGGTTGTGTAACTGATGGGTTTCTAGATGGGTGGTGATCTTGCTTCTTAGGACCCTTTCAAAGATTTTTATGATATGATGGGATGTTAGTGCTATTGGTCTGTAGTTCTTTGCTGTTGCTTTACTGCCCCCTTTGTGGAGTGGGGCTATGTCTGTTGTTTTTAGTAACTGTGGGACGACCCCCATGTCCATGCTCCCTCTCCATAGGATGGAAAAGGCTCGTGATAGGGGCTTCTTGCAGTTCTTGATGAACACAGAGTTCCATGAGTCTGGCCCTGGGGCAGAGTGCATGGGCATATCATTTATCGCCTTTTCGAAGTCATTTGGCGTCAGGATAACATCGGATAGGCTTGTGTTAATCAAATTTTGTGGCTCTCTCAAAAAATTCATTTTGATCTTCGACTCTGTCTGGTTAGCGGCTTGCTAAAAACTGAGTCATACTGGGACTTGAGTAGCTCACTCATTTCCTTGCTGTCATCTGTGTAGGACCCATCTTGTTTTAGTAGGGGCCCAATACTGGACATTGTTCTCGATTTTGATTTGGCATAGGAGAAGAAATACTTTGG